CCCTTTATCAGACCACCCATCCTTGGAAAGCCAAAAGCCCCCATAGATCTGCCTCTATCTACCAAGGTGGCGTTTCCTGGGAGCTCAGATGTTTCTATTTTTTCCGAGATGAAAGAGAAAAGCTCTGAGGCTGGAGAGACAGGTCGGGGTAAAAGCACCGGCCTTGCGTGTGGCCGACGCTGGTTGGCTCCCTGGCATGGCCTGCTCCCCTGAGCACTGCCCCATTGAGCCCTGAGCAGAGTCTGGAGTAGACCCCAAGTACCACCAGGTGTGGCCCAAACCTGGCCCCTTCCACTCCCCACTGCAAAGAAAGAGAGAGAAAATTCCTTATTTTTTTCAACATGAAGATAGTTGGGTTGGGTTCTCCAAAGCATGCTCTCCTCTCCCCTGACTGCACCGCCATGCTGATAAATCCTTGTCCTTTGAGGAGGTGCCACCCTCCCTGGAACATACATGCAGCCCATGGAACCGTGTCAGGGTACCACACACACAGGCTTGTGGCCCTGGAGGAGGGGCCGGTGGCCAAACTACTCTACTCTGCCCACTCCGGGGTGGGGGTTTGAAACAAGAGTCTTTCAGGGTCATCCTGGGCAAAGCTAGGACCAAAGTTCCCTAGTTCGTGGCCGTGCCAGGTCTCAAGCTCTCATTTCTACGCTGCCTGGCTGACTTCCTGTTCATTAATCCAGAGGTTTTTGTGGCTAATTCTCGGCCTCAGGAGGAGGGATGGAAACTGGTGGGGTCTGACGTTTGTTGGTCTTCCTCCTGCTCCCATTCTTCCCATCAGCTAGAACCTAGACACTTCAGGGTGTGCCATGTGTAGGCCGTCTGCGATCCCTGTTGGGCTCTACACATAACTTCCAGCCTGAACAGAGCCCCCGGCACAGGTCATTCAGCTGACAAATGCACATCAGGGGGCAAAGTGTGACCCCTGGGAGCACCCAGCAGAAGGAAGACTCTGCTCCGCGACCCCACATATGGGCCCCAGGACCTGGTATGAGAGCCCCAGTGAACTCGCTGTCAGGCCTGCAAGAGAAGGGGCCCCCAACAAGTCCACCCTCCCACCCCAACCCCCACCATCATCACAGTAACTTCAGCAAAGCAAAGGGGATGAGAAGAAATCCCTGCCAACGTGAGTCAGACAAGCAACGTGCTTCTTTCTGTAAACCTCTGGTATAAAAACCAGCTTTGCAAGCCTATATGCTTAAGCCCAGCTTCTCTCTAACTTTAATCCTGGTCTCTTCTCCAAAAAAAGGTCAAAAGTTCTTCTGCAATTTTGGTTTTAAAAAATATCAATGAGACTAATGTAAATATCTACAAAGAACTAATCATCGTTAATGCAGCAGATAAAAAAAAAAAAGAAAAGCACTGATTGACGAGTAGGCCCTTAGCCACAGAAGTATTTGCTAAATTAAGCCCAGCATGGTTCAAGAACAACTGCACAGGCTGTTAATCAGTCACCAGCTTTCAGCAACTTACACACGCCCATACCATGGGCCCTAAAACCAGGGTAATTCTAGGTGGCACCTACCCACACAGTAAATCCTCGCCACAGTCAGTCACAGGATCCTGGAAACTGTACCTTTAAAATGACATGAGTTGAAGCGAAGCTGACGACAAGCTAACAGCAACAAGAGTTAAGTTCCTACCATAGGTTTCTGGCCCTGAAACAGCACCAAAGCACCTAAGACTCAGAACACTTCTACTATTCAGTCCATACCCGGATTCATTCATTTTCAACCCCACTCATTCAAGTTCAAGGTTGCAGGTGGCCAGAGCTTGTCCCAGGAGATCAGTGTCAAGGTGGGGATCCACCATCCAAACTTGTCCTTCCATAACAAGACACACCTGGGGCCACCAAAGATTCCATTGGACCCGTGTGCACATTTCTGAGTTGGGGGAAAAAACTAGTGTTTCCACAGAAAATTCACACAGGGGCCGGAGTGGTAGTCCAGTGGGCAGGGCACTCGCATTGCACATGACAGACCTGAGTTCTATTCCCAGCACCCCATAAGGTTCCCCGAACCCCCCCAGGAGTGACCACTGAGTGCAGAACCAGGAGTAATTCCTAAGCACTGCAGGGTGTGTCCTTCCCCACCGCAAAAAAGCACAGAGACATGGGGAGCACATGTCAACTCCATGTAGGCAGAGGCCCCAACTGTTTTGTTGGGATTTTTTTTTTTATCAACAAGACAGAACAGCTTTGAACAGAAGACTTGCTGTAATAAACAGAACAGCTACTGCTGCACCTCACACACAGCCACTAATTCCCCAGACTGGTGCGGACAGGGTCACCTGTGAGGAAGGAACTAGTCATATTGAAGGGGGTTTGTTGGGGGCTTTTTGTTTGTTTGTTGCTTCGAGTTTTGCAGATGAGGAAACAAACACCATGATGGTCAGTTGGATGAATGTCCCATAGACTCGGGATTCCAAGCAAACACGTTCCTGCTCCCAACCCTAGAGTGCTTCTCTATTCCTCATGGCACTCTGGGCTTTGGATCCCATTCCAAGGGGTCCGGGATTAAAACCAAGCCTTTATTAGGTGAAGTTGGTCACCTTCTCTGTGCCCAATTTCCTCACAGATAAAATAAATAAATAAATAAAAGGTCCTTAACTCTTTGTGTTGTGAAGATTACATGAACCTGGCCTTTGATTGGAAACCAGTCATTGATAGTTGTCCTCATCCCTCTCCCATAAAAGTTCATTCCTTGGTTCTTAAGGGGAAAAAAATTCTTAACAATTCTACGCTTTTCTTAAGAGTCTATCTACACAAGCCTCACTGAATCTGAGGCTGTCAGAGGCAATTAAGAGAACCAACATCACAGTCGATGCCTGACTCTGATGGACACTGTCAACACGGGTGTCAACTTCAAGAGACGGACTTCTGTCCACAGGAACTGGGCTGAGGTCGCATACTTGACTCATGCTGCCCAGCAGACAGATGTCTGGGTGACAACTTTTCAATGCTGCCAGCCACCGAGAGGGCCAGCCCAGGTGGGATGCAAATAGCTCCTTTCAAATCCTCTTCCTCCTCCAATCCAGTCTGTTCTTCCCTGAGACAATCCCTCCCTGATCAGAATGGAAAATAACTTGTTTTCCTTCTTCCCATCTCAGAATACTATTTTCAGCATCATGCCTTTATTTGGGAGATGTCCACCAACAAAAGAGAATATTTCGAGAACAACAGTTGGACAGTAAGATCCCTGTTTGATTTTCTGTATAGGAATAAGCACCTTCCAGTGTGTACTGCTCAGCGACCCAAGGGGAAAGTGATGTGGAGTGCAGGGGATGTGGTCTAGAAACAACACAGCCCTCGGTGTCAGCCCGCAGAAAGGGCCAGAATGTCACTATCTTTCATTCGTTGATGCACAGATGATGGTGAGAAAGAAAGAAGCTAAGAAAGAAAGAAAAAAGAAGGAAGGAAAGAAAAAGAAGCACTGTAGGCTTCTCTTTTCAGCTTTTTTTTATCAAGTTCACCAGGAATCCTATTAATCAAACACTGGTTATTTTTCCCAAAGCTAATAAGAGAACTGCATACAAAAAAAACATTGAACTCTACAGCGGTCTGATCAGTGAAGTCCTGTACCAACTGTCTTGGGAATTTAAATAATCCCTACAGACTGATAAGGTTCTTTCAAGTTAATTCCTGCCCCAGAAGACTGCCTTCCTTGAATTTCTGACTTCTGAAGTCTTTTCCAACTTAAAACAACTCAGCCTGGAACCTATAATGTAACTATACAACTGGAACCTATACAAATTCTTTGTTTTCCTACTACCTATACATCTCAATTCATTAAAAAAAATACCAAAAACTAAAAAAAAAAACTCCATTATACTCAATAATGTAGCAGAATATAAATAGTAAAAATTTTATAATTTACTACCAGAAGCTGACATTTAAAATTTCTAAATATGGTGCCTGTTCTGGTTGTGTCAAAATAACTTACCATGGGGATAATAACTTTCAGAATATGAAAAAGATAGAAACTAGCCTTTCTCTAAATATATATCTGATATATATCTGAGTATCATATTCCTAAACATTAAAGAGAGTGAATCACTCACTTTTCTATAAGCTATGATTTAAAAAAAAAAGAAACAAAAATGTTCACAAAGGCATTAACAACATTTATCTGAAATAAAAATCTCAATACTTCTGGGAGCTTTTCATGGCTTTTATCAGCAGAACCCACTAGATGCTTTCCTAGTGGACATATTCCAAGGGCTTTTAAACTGTTTAGGGCTTTTAACTCTAACTACCAAGCTTCACAATTTTGAGAAGAAAGATTTAATGACTGCCCAGAGGCATTTATTCATTCATGTCTCTCTTTTCCATCCTTGTACTAATATGCTGCTATTAATATAGTTCCATAAACTGCACAGAAAAAAATGGCAAAAAAGCCCTCATAAGGCATCTTCTGAGAACATAATTTTTCATAGTAGAAAACTCAAGATAAGGAACTAATTTCCTTTCAAGTCCTCATTTTTATCAATAGAATAGGAGAGTGAACCTTCTTGACAGAAGAGAATAAAAGCAAGAGAGGAAGTTAAGGAGGTTTACTAACATAATCATATGTCAAAGGGAACCAACGGAAGTCTGTGCTAATGCAACGCCAGCCAGCAGGGAATTGAGAATCTAACGTGTTCTGCAGGCCTTTTCCACCGGAGACATTCAAATCACTGAACAAAACACTGAAGAACGTTTTTCAATCTGTGAATCAAAGAACTTTGTACCTTGACCTGCCTATATTTTCTTTAGTGATTATCTCTACCTTTTCTTAGCTTTTCTATACCAAACCTGGGTACACAGCTTAAAATAATATTTGCAGCTTTCTTTGCCATTTTTTGGGTTGAGACATGTTGCTTTTATTAAACTGAGTTGGGCCTGCATTCTTTCTTTACTATTATTACAGGTAGATTTGACAGACCCGGGACCTTTGATTTTCCAGGAGCTTTGCGTTCTCTGCTGTAGAGGGAATCTGGTTAAATCAGTCTCATTTTACCTGCAGGGCAGTTGCATGCGGAAGATGCTTCTCTGGCGATCCTGACTTTAGCCATATGTTCGTAGGATTTCTAGAGGAAAAAAAGAAGTATTAACAGTCCTCAGTAGCACTGTTGAGATAGGGGTTCTTTAGGGACTCTCTGGCCAGAGGCTTGATTTACCAGCACTCAGGGAGCCTGCATTACTAACATATGTACTTGGCAACTTGTCAAAAGATAACAGCACTAAGTCCTAAAAATAAGAAAATGATCCTAGCATGGTATCGAGAACGCACTTTGTAATCTTCCTCCTTAGGCAACTGCCCCCACTCTCTCTTTCTCTGCTCAAGTATTAGCAGAAGCACATTAAGTCAGTGTGGTCGGAGGTGAGCCGAGGGCTTTATATTAGCGGGTATTCCACCGAGGAAGGCCAACTCTTCACCGAGGTGGACACAATCACTGCCCAGGCAGTTTCTATGACCGAGAAGCAAGTTTCAGAAAACCTCCTGGCTCTTATCTTTGACAAACACCTGAGAGAACAACTCTCCACTCCAGGAGCTCTGCATTCACAGACACCTTTCACAGGACATCCTTCACACAAAAGACAGTAACAAGGCTTGGATGTTCAAATACTTAATACAAAAGCAGTCACTGTGAAATAAATGATGGCAAGTCTTAGATGGGGCTATTTTACTTTTCAGAATGGCTATTGCTTGTATAGTAATAACCTGTCTGGTCTTAACCTTCTACTAACATAGGAAGGGTGAAACAGATGCTTGCTCTGCAAAGAATGCTGACCACAGAAACTGGTGAAGATTCACCCCGAACTCCAGAAAACTCAAAAGAAATTAAATGCAACCCTGTCGTCCTTGCCATCCTCCCCCCTTTAGAGTCCACCCATGCTTAGGGTGCAAACACTGCTGGTAGCGCAGGGAGCAGGAGTGCAGGACGGCAAGGGGTGCGCACCGCGGATCTGACCGCGCGCCAGTGCGCCCCTGGTCGTTCCAGGGATGCAGACGGTTACGGAAAGAGGGCGGGCGTGGGCACAGACACCCGCCGGGGAAGGGGTCACCCGCGTGCCAACGCCCCCAGCCGTCCACACCTGAGCCAGGAGCTGCTCCACCTTCTCGTGTACCATCGCCTTCAACTCGTCCAGGTAGGTGGCGGGCGGCACATGGAAGGCAGGGTCGCCTTTGGCCGCCTCGAGAACGGCGATCCTCGCCTGCAGGTCGCTGGTCTTCACCCCCAGGTACACGCAGGACAGCACGGCCACCGCGGCCAGGAGGGCGGCCAGGGCCGCGCAGGGGGGCAGCGCGCGGGCGCAGTGCGAGCCGGCGGAGCCCGGGGGTTGCGCGCCCGGCTCGCGGGCCGCCCCTTTCCCCGCGGGTTTCTTCCCCAGCATCGCGGGGTCGGGGTCTGGGTTGCCTCGCGGCCGCTCCCCCCTCCCACGACAGCCGTCGGAAGCACGGGCGTGGAGCTCGCCGAGTTCGGCCCGGGCGCCGGCACCCAACTAGTGGCTGGCGGCGCGGGCGCGGGGACGGGCGCGCGAGGACACGCTCCGGGCGCTGCTCGCGGAGGTTCGGACCCAAAGGCGGCCCCGAGGGTGGGCGGCCGCGACCCCCTGCAATCCAGGGGCGCGCGCGCACGTCCCTCGCCGCCCTGCCCGGACCTGTTGCGCTCCGTGGACTTTGCCTTATTTCCACCCGGGCGCTCTTCTGCCCGTTTCCCACCGGGATCCAGTCCCGGGCAAAAAAAAAGGAGGGGAAAGAGGCAGAGAGAGAGAAAGAGACAGAGAGAAGGGTCGGGGGTTTGCGAGAGCAGAAGGGATGGCCGAGGGCCACGGGGACAGAAAAGCGCAATAAGTGGGGTAGCCGCGCCGAGTGGCCAGCCCCGAGTCGCCGCTGCCCGCCGCGTCTCCGCAGCCCCCGGCGGGCGAGCCTTAAATACCCCTCGGGATGCTGGTGCGCGCCTGTGTGTGCGAGAGCGCGCCCCCCGCCGCAGCGACTCGTTAGCATAATGATGCGCCTTGGCCCCACCCCCGGGGGAGGGGGGCTCGGGGAGGCCCAATAGCGAGAGGCTTATTAGCATAATCTAGGCCGAGAGACGGAGCGGCTGCCGCGATTGGCCAGGGTACCTGGAGGCTCCTCCCATCCCAGCACTGAAGAACGTGGGGTCCGGGAGTGATGCTGCTCCCGCCGCCCGGGGCCAGGGCCGCAGCCGGGTCAGCGGCGCGGAAACGGGACAGTCTGGCTGCGGCTGCCCGTCCCCAGCGCCCCCCTCTTTATCTCGGTGAGATATGGGGGGGCCTCCGGGCGGGAAGAAGCGATGCCGGGGTGCACCCCGGGCCGCAGCGGCGGGCTGCCCCCCTGGTACGGGCCCCCAGCGACCCCCACGGCCGCCTGCGGGAGCCTACCCTGGGGGGCTGTCCCCCACCCCTCCTCCGCCCCTCGCCCCTCCCCACGTCGTCCTCCCTGTCTGCGCGCGGGTGCTAATGCGTTTTCCTGATTGCGCGTTTGGTGGGACTGCAAAGCGGAGCGTTGCGGTGCATACATTTCTCGGGATTTAGGAAGGGGCTGAAGAATGAGGTCAACTTTTCCACGCACCTGCCTGCCTCCCGGGCCGATCCCTCCGGATCCAGTGGCCAGAGGGCTGGTGGGATTGGGGACTTTGTACCAAGTAGCGGTCTACAGCTAACTGAGTTGGAAAGAAGTTGTTTATTATTATTATTTTTTAATCCACCTATTACTCCTCGTAGTTCCTTCTTATCGCCTCCCTAAAAAGAAATACCATATAGTTTCCGGTCCTTTATAAGGCTAACCCTCAAGCTGTTGCTCCTTGATAAAAACAGAAAAAGAAAGAGAGAGAGAGAGAGAGAGAGAGAGAGAGAGAGAGAGAGAGAGAGAGAGAGAGAGAAGAAGAAAGAAAGAAAGAAAGAAAGAAAGAAAGAAAGAAAGAAAGAAAGAAAGAAAGAAAGAAAGCCCATACATTACATACTGCACTATGCTCATCTTTCCGGAACAGATGCTACTGAATTTGAAGCCATGTCCTCACAGCAACAAGTTGAAGGATACACGAAGGACAGAAAGGGGGTGAAATGCGCAACATTAAAGGAAAACTCCACATCTTTCAGTAAAAAGCTTAGCATCAGACATTTGTATGACAAAACAGTTCTCAAAGGTAGCCGGGGGAGGAGGCCACCCCCACTTCTATTGCTGTCCGGAGTCAGGAACTCTGATCGGAGCTTTAACAGCCCTGATGATTTCCATGCACTCTAACACAGGCAAATCCACAGCTATAAAACTTCACAAAATATTTGCAGAGACATTTATCTCAGTGGAGATCCTTGTTCCCATGATGTAAGTAAGGAATTATTGGCCCTGCTTTACCTGTAAGGAAACAACTTTCCTTATGATTAAAAATGCTTCCAATAATAGCACCCAAGGAATAGGTGCAATTTTTTTTCTATGTCAACTTTCTCATTCCCCAGTTATCTCTTACCGTTTGTTAGAGGGAACTGGTTAAAGTTCTTAGAAGTCTCTTCCTCTAGGAAACAACTTTCCTTATGATTAAACATGCTTCCAATAATAGCACTCAAGGAATGGGTGCAACTTTTTTTTCTATGTCAACTTTCTCATTCCCCAGTTATCTCTTACCATTTCTTAGAGGGAACTGGTTAAAGTTCTTAGAAAGCTCTCCCTCTAGGAAACAACTTTCCTTAAGATTAAACATGCTTCCAATAATAGCACCCAAGGAATGGGTGCAATTTTTTTTTCTATGTCAACTTTCTCATTCCCCAGTTACCTTTTACAGTTTCTTAGAGGGAACTGGTAAAAATTCTTAGAAGGTTTTTCCTTTGCCTGGTCCCTGAATATGGATGCTTCTCAAGACTCAGGCTTCTCTCTCTCTCTCTCTCTCTCTCTCTCTCTCTCTCTCTCTCTCTCTCTCTCTCTCTCTCTCTCTCCCTCCCTCTCTTTCTCTCCCTCCCTCCCTCCCTCCCTCCCTCCCCCAGCTCAGTAGGACTGTCACTAGTGGGTCATAAGTCCATCCTACCAGCCCAAATCTGTCCTTTGACCTTCAGATCCAGACCCAAGCAATGTTTGCCATCTTCTCTTAGATGCCAAGTAAGCAGGTCCAATGTCATTTCCAGCTTCCCTCCTTGCCCAACTCTTCTTCCTTCGTTTCCCAGCTTCTTTCATACATGGTCCTCAAGCCCAAAATACCTTGGCTTCTCCCTAGCCTTAAAACTGCACAAAGCCCGTGTCTGGAGTGATAGCGCAACAGATAGGAGGATTGCCTTGCATGCGGCCGCCCCGGGTTCAATCCCCGGCACCCCATGTGGACCCCTGAGTCCCGCCTGGAGTGATCTCTGAGCTCAGAGCCAGGAGTAAGGCCTGAGCACGGTCAGCCACATGTAGCCTAGAAACCGAGAAAAAGGAAGAAAAACAACAACAACAAAAAAAGAACTTTATGTAATCATCATCTGGATCATAGGAACTGCCCAAACCTTCCTCCTTCATGTCACTTTCTTTGTTTTATTGAAGGTAGAGGTGAATTTTCCCTCAGATTTTAAATAGCATGATAATAAGTCTGCTGGCTTTTCCCCAGAATATGCCAGTTACATTGCTAATTCTAACAAGAAGCAGTTTTTCACTGAATTTACCAAACCAGACTTTCCTGTGATGCTATAAAAACAGAACATGTTTGCAGTCCTGATTTAGCTCATGGTTAAGTGCACAGACTCCAAAACCAAACTTTGACAATTTTATAATTTCAGCATTGTCATTTCATAGTTGTGTGACTGGCTAGATTAACTTTATGTGCCAGAGTTCTCCCATCTATCTAGCAAAGATAATAATATCCATAAAGTCGATATGTACAAAGCATTAACATTTTTAGAAAGCATAAAATGCAGTATAATTTTTGTTCTTATTGTTCTGAATACTATGTTATTTATAGGTACTAATCTGCTGATCTATGGATAACAAGGGCAAGACCTACGGCTGGAGAGAGAGCTTAAAGGCTTGAGCTTGAAGGTATTGGGTTTGATCCCTAGTACCGTCCAATCTCAGGTATCTGTAGGAGCAGTGCCCACCCACAGAGCCAGGAGTAGCTGCCAGGGATCACCAGGTGCTGCCCCCAAAGAGACACATGAGGGAAACTGTGGTTTATCCTAATCATGAATTTAGTCCTACCTCGATTTACAAGGAAAAGGTGGCACCAGGGCCACCTTGCAGCTTGGTATGACTTGAAGAATTTCCTGCCCCAAACAAGCATTCTGTTTTATGTTATTTTAAATTACTTTAGCCTGTTCTCTAGCTTCATAGAAATAGAAACTTAGATATAGCAGTAAGGGCCACCATTGGTGTGCTGGAGCAGAGGGGACCAGGCCATTCGTGGCGATGCTTAACCGGGTGGTATGGCCTGACAGTTTGTTGGAGCCCGACCACAAGCCCATGAGATCTCGACCAGGAAATCAAACTCTCCCACATCCACGCTCTCCCTGCCCCCTGGAACATTCTCAGGTGTCTGGCTTCCTTTGCTCACCATGATGCTTTAGAAATTGATCCACAGTGATGTACAGAATGGCACTTTGCTCATTCATAATAAGGAGCCACATTTTGTTGTATCCCACCATTTGTTTACATAGTGACTTAATGACCCTTGCATTATTTCCAGTTTTTTTGGAAATGAACTTTCCAAATGAATCAAGTTTCTATGAATATTCATAGTCTAATTATTCCTTGTATACCTATTTCTGAAAAGAGAGACCTTTACTATAATAATAAAAATTGAATTATCTAAGATAAAACTAATAATTAAAGATTATTTTATTACTATGACATTTTAAATTATATTTTCTTGACAGATGTCCTGTAGCCAAGGTTGTCACTTATCAGAAACAAAAGTGGAGTCAGCAGATTCCAAATCTGTAATGAAGGTGGAGTGATCGGCAGAGTTTATTAGTGTTGCGGGGACAGAAACTAAACCAAAGAAATAGACAAGAGAGACTAAAGATAAACCCACACAGTTCTAGCCACTAATATGGCATGAGAAAGACACTGCAGAGAGCCTCAGCGATAGGTAAGGTATTTGCCTTGCTTGTGAACAACCTGGGTTCAATCCCCAGCATCCCATACGGTCCCCTAAGAACCACCAGGAGTAATTTCTGAGTGCAGAGCCAAGAGTAACCCCTGAGCATTACTAGTCGTGACCCAAAAAAGTCAAAACTAAAAATATTCTAAAAAGAAGATGAAAGATACTACAATGGGGGGAAAAGAAATGACTATCCAATAAATTTTGCTGAATAATTGCATAGTTACACAGGAAAAAATAAAATTAAATCTTTCTTCATAGAATACACAAAAATTAAAGGAACTGTTGTGTAAATCTAACTATAGACAA